GAACCTATTAGCTGGTTGGACCGGCTAGTTTAGTCAGATTTGAAACAGGCCCTGGATATTGTCCTTAGCCGAAGTGTGCTATCGGATGAACAGTGGAATCGCACGAGATGCAGGCACATGAAGTTCGCGCGGTGTCGAAAGTGAGCAGATTTGACACTAATCGCTATTTGGAGAAGTTGGGTAGCAGATGCGGTTAGAGAGCCTTATTAAATGCTAAGAGCTAACTTCCACTTTGTGTGGGCTTTTCAAATTGAGCCGCCGTTTATTTTTCCTCCCTCCATATGCATCAGTTGCCCATTATAAACCGATTTTGAGCCCTCTTTTTTTATTTGAAGCACAATGAGGTCATCAGTGCGCGACGCTAGCACCATTTTGAAAGAAGTCCAATTTGGCCTACATTTTGCGATTTATTCAAGGACATCTCTCCCCGATGTCAACAATTGCAATCTTTGGCGATTATGGGCTGCTTGTAATTTCTCGGTATTGTAGTTTGTGTGGCAAATTTTATTCATTGTGAATGGAGAATGTTTTTGCTGAAAATGTTGGAATCATATTTCCAAAATATAGCATATATCTCTATGTTTCTCTGCCACAGCAAGCGCCAAGTGCCTTTAAAATTGACGCCAATCTCCAAGGCATTAACACTAAGCACAAAGCTGAGAATACCCATTTGAAAGTTAAGAACGAGTACTGTCCAGGCTGAATCAGTCCGTCTACACTACTGGTACAAGCTGTGTGGTCGCGAATACCTTTCGGCGGAGACCGATACAGGGTTGTCATTGCCTCGCAGATGGACTCATATGCAAGCCTGCGAAACAACAAGTCGTGAGATTTCCCCTGTCGTGGCATTACTGAATAATGTTTCTAAATAAAAAGACCTCGTAATTTACGGCATTCCCACATCGCGGGGAGTCCCTGAAAATCGTGAAGTGTTTTTGACTTCGCTTCGTACAAGTTTAATCACAGGACAGGTTTTATTAGCTTTGAATATTGACCAGTCGTCCCTTGAATACAAATAGGACGCATTCTTGCCATCGGTTTCGGGTAGTTACATAATGTCTCTACGCTTTTTTCCAGCAGAAGACAACCTAAACTCCACGTTTTTTAATACTATGACAAAATCTCATCTTCTCGAAGTTTGTATAGTTGAGTAAACGGAAGATTCTGCATAACAAGTACTATAGATACCTTAGGACGCTTGTTCGGATACGCAAGTGTACTGGTCTTGCTCAAAACACGTGCCAACCATTCCGACTGTAGGGCCATAGCAAAGGGGAAAGACTGATAATTATGCCTTCAGAAAGCATGCACAGAGAAGAAATCTAATAGCGGTGCAATAACGCAAACAGTTTCAAGGCATACAAGGACTACGAAGGTTGCATTCGAGGAAAATATTGAATAACGCTTATTCGGATTCGAAAGTGTAGTGATCTTGCCTAAGAAAAGTGCACGACGCCCCAAAGGCATCGGCATCGCAACAAGGAAAGACTGATAATTATGCCTTTAAAAAACTACCAGGGCCTCAAAAATGCTAACTATCTCAAGATCTATGAGGACTGCTGAGCTTGCATGTGTGGGGCGAATACTCAATCATGTGCTTATAAGTCTCGCAAGTCCGCTTGATAACAAAGATAGACTGGGTGTCAGGAATGCTTACAAGAGCGAAAGCACCCAACAGGGTGGTAATAGGGTGGCGGTGGGAAGAGGTCAAGGTCAAGGCAGAGGTAAACACAGTGAAATTGCCAAACTGGATAGCCGTGTCCCTAAAAACCTCTTCAATTACCCTCCACACGCAAAACATCATGGCAGTAGAGTCGGAAAAAAAACAGGAGGCGATCTATTGACCAAAAAAGCATGCCTTAACAACTAAGTCAACACTAGAACAATATGAAAACTCACTTAGAAGTGCTCCCCTGGGCTGGGGTGGGCGCAGTTGTTGTTGT